TCTATAGGAATGGTTGCCATGGTAATTACTATGAACATTACCCTGTCACCCATCACTATGACAACTGTAAAGCAACGGTTGCCATGGTGACTATTGCCATTTTAACGGTTGCCATGGGGACTATTGCATTGCATAGATTGCCATGGTGATTACTGATATAGCAACAGTTGCCATGGTGACTCTTGCCACAGCTGTGATGGTGTTTGTTCCAATACTGAGGGTTGTCATGGTAACAGTTTCCATATGTGATGGTGGCCAGGATTCAGATTCAGATTCATTTATTTGCCAGTACATAAATAAAACAAGGTTAAAAAAAACAGGAAACCATGGACACTGTGAAATCGATCGACAATAAGAGTTTCTATATAAAAGCAAGATCACTTAAGGACTCAAACTGATAACAGCTTGTGGAAAGAAGCTGTTAGCATAACGAGATGTCCTGTATCTCAGCGAACAATATCTTCTGCCAGAAGGAAGAAGCTGAAACATGTCTTTTCCAGGGGGGGCAGAAGAGTCATTAATTATTCTCGGTTTAAAAGTCTGGATTTATAAAGAACCTCCAGAACAGACAGCTCACAGTCCTTTTTGCAGAGCAGAGCACCTTGTTTAGAGCTCTCCTTTCTTTGGCTGTGATGTCACCAAACCACACAGTCACAGAACCAACAAGCAAACTTTCAATGGTGCAGCGATAAAAGTTAAGTTAGAGTATTAGAGTTAGTGGTACATTCTCTAAGTTTACGCAGAAAGTAGAGACGCTGACGAGCTTTCTTAACAACCCAATTAGTGTTTTTGTCCCATTTCAGGTCGTTAGAGTTAAACCCAGAAACTTGCACTCCTCTACGATCTGCTCTATAAGAAGATTCCTCATTATCACTGATGAGACCAATGATGGTGGCATCATCAGCATATTTAATGATCAGGTTAAAGTGCTGAGTGGATAGCACTCTCGCCTCTCAGCAAGAACGTTCTAGGTTCGAATCCCGGTCAGACCAGGGCCTTTCTGAGTGGAGTTTGCATGTTCTCCCCGTGTCTGCTTAGGTTTCCTCCAGGTACTCTGATATCCCCTACCACTAAAGAAATATGTACAATAGCTCTGGCATGCGCCTCCCATACTGGCGACCCCGCTCCCATCTCTGTGTGGAGTGAGTGGACAAATACCCACAAAATAACAATTGTAAACCGCTTTGTGACTCTGGTCTGTGAAAGGCGGTATATAAATAAAGATTACTTACTTCCTTCACACAATCATGAGTGCACAATGTAAAAAGCAACGGACTCAAAATGCATCCCAGAGTTCATCCTCAACGCTCCTATTATGTCTGTAGGCAAAGTAGAGCGGGTCAACACTCACAGGGATTTGGTTCTTAGTGAAGTCCAACACGAGCCGCTCAAAAGACTTCATAAGAACAAACGTGAGGGACACAGGACAATAGTCATTAAGGCATGACACAGGAGTTTTCTTAGGAACTGGGATGATGGCCGACTCCTTAAAGCAGTTCCTTAGCGACAGCTTGAAATTATCTGTTAAAAGAGGGCAAGGTTGCTCAGAGCACAGTTTCAGGACACGAGGAGGGATGCCGTCCGGGGTTGGGCTTTCCGGACTGTGGTCCTGGACAAGACCCTTAGGTCACGCTGAGTCACGGTGAAGGCACCTTGATTTAAACAATCAGAGAATACAGCAGGACAGGCATCAGCAGATTCAATGCAACAGTAGAAAGTGTTGAGCTCATTTGGTAGAGCTTGGCCAACAGATGTCCTTTATTCCGTTGCACATGCAGCGAGGGTCATCTTCCTCAAAATAACCCTTTAATCTGTCCCCATAACTGTGCTTTGCAGATTTACTGTAATTGAACGTTTCAAAGAGTAACAGGATAACTTATAAGCAACTGTATCGTTTGATTGAAACGCCAAAGCATGGCCATGAATTTTCAGTTTCACTTCTGCGTTCATCCATGGGGGTTAACAGTTGCCATAGTGATTGCCATAGCAACATGCCATGGTGCCTATTGCCATAACTATGGTTGCCATGACGTCTTTTGCCAAAGAAACGGTTGCCACAGTGACTATTGCCATATCAACGGTTGCCATGATGACTATTGTTATAGCAACGGTTGCCATAGTGACTATTGCCACAATTATGATGGTAATTGTTCCAAAAGTGAGGGTTGTCATGGTAATAGTTGCCATAGTGATTTCCATAGGAAGGGTTGCCATGGTAATCACTATGACAATTACCCTGTCAACTGTCACTATGACAACTGTAATGCAATGGTTGCCATGGTGACTTTTGCCATAGAAACGGTTGTCATGGTGACTATTGCCACAATTATGATGGTAGTTGTTCCAGTAGTGAGGGTTGTCATGGTAACAGTTGCCATAGTGATTGCCATACGAACGGTTGCCATGTTAATCACTATGACAATTACCCTGTCAACCATCACTATGACAACTGTAAAGTAATGGTTGCCATGGTGACTATTGCCATAGCAACGGTTGCCATTGTAACTTTTGTCATAGCAACGGTTGCCATGGGGACTATTGCCACAGTTGTGATGGTGATTGTTCCAATTGTTTGGGTTGTCATGGTAATAGTTTCCATAGGAAGTGAGAGTGCTATCCACTTAACCACAGTTGCCATAGTAATTGCCATAGCAACAGCTGCCACGGCAGCCATCACTATGACAACTGTTACCGTTACAGTTGTCGTTCATGCTAATCATGATGGTTGTCATGGTTTTCCTGGCTTGATTTGCTATGCGTTGGCAAAATTGTACATACACTTGTAATTACGTACTTTTAAACAAATAAAAAATCTCCTTTTAGAAGAAATTTAGAAGTTCAGGCCTGGACCTCGGTCTGCCAATTGGTGACCCTTGCTCCATGGTTTTGAGCTTTTTGAGCATTTTGACGTGCCTTCTTGGTTTGACAGCTTTTAGTGGGTCGCATAGACTGCAGTGGATAGCAGGCTAATGAGGAAACAGAATGTTGTAGTGTAGTTGTTAGTGAATTTGGTGACTTTAATGGCATCTGCAAGTGGAAAATGGAAATGCATGGGACTGTATATCTATTCAGCTATTCTGGTTGGCTGCATATCTGGCAACCTGAGTCAGGGTGAGTGGGAGAGGACTACAGCATTTTGGCTGTGATTGCAGTATCACTTTAGGCCAGATTTTTATATATACAGTGCCTTGCGAAAGTATTCGGCCCCCTTGAACCTTTCAACATTTCGCCACATTTCAGGCTTCAAACATAAAGATATAAACATTTAATTTTTTGTCAAGAATCAACAAGTGGGACACAATCGTGAAGTGGAACAAAATTTATTGGATAATTTAAACTTTTTTAACAAATAAAAAACAGAAAAGTGGGGCGTGCAATATTATTCGGCCCCCTTGCGCTAATACTTTGTAGCGCCACCTTTTGCTGCAATTACAGCTGCAAGTCGCTTGGGGTATGTCTCTATCAGTTTTGCCCATCGAGAGACTGGAATTCTTGCCCATTCTTCCTTGCAAAACAGCTCGAGCTCAGTGAGGTTGGATGGAGAGCGTTTGTGAACAGCAGTCTTCAGGTCTTTCCACAGATTCTCGATTGGATTCAGGTCTGGACATTGACTTGGCCATTCTAACACCTGGATACGTCTATTTGTGAACCATTCCATTGTAGATTTGGCTTTATGTTTTGGATAATTGTCCTGTTGGAAGATAAATCTCCGTCCCAGTCTCAGGTCTTTTGCAGACTCCAACAGGTTTTCTTCCAGAATGGTCCTGTATTTGGCTCCATCCATCTTCCCATCAATTTTAGCCATCTTCCCTGTCCCTGCTGAAGAAAAGCAGGCCCAAACCATGATGCTGCCACCACCATGTTTGACAGTGGGGATGGTGTGTTCAGGGTGATGAGCTGTGTTGCTTTTACGCCAAACATATCCTTTTGCATTGTGGCCAAAAAGTTCAATTTTGGTTTCATCTGACCAGAGCACCTTCTTCCACATGTTTGGTGTGTCTCCCAGGTGGCTTGTGGCAAACTTTAAACGAGACTTTTTATGGATATCTTTGAGAAATGGCTTTCTTCTTGCCACTCTTCCATAAAGGCCAGATTTGTGCAGTGCACGACTGATTGTTGTCCTATGGACAGACTCTCCCACCTCTGCAGTTCATCCAGAGTGATCATGGGCCTCTTGGCTGCATCTCTGATCAGTCTTCTCCTTGTTTGAGATGAAAGTTTGGAGGGTCTTGGTAGATTTGCAGTGGTCTGATACTCCTTCCATTTCAATATAATTGCTTGCACAGTGCTCCTTGAGATGTTTAAAGCTTGGGAAATCTTTTTGTATCCAAATCCAGCTTTAAACTTCTCCACAACAGTATCTCAGACCCGCCTGGTGTGTTCCTTTGTCTTCATGGTTCTCTCTGCGCTTTAAACAGAACCCTGAGACTATCAAAGAGCAGGTGCATTTATACGGAGACTTGATTACACACAGGTGCATTCTATTTATCATCATCAGTCATTTAGGACATCATTGGATCATTCAAAGATCCTCACTGAACTTCTGGAGTGAGTTTGCTGCACTGAAAGTAAAGGGGCCGAATAATATTGCACGCCCCACTTTTCAGTTTTTTATTTGTTAAAAAAGTTTAAATTATCCAATAAATTTTGTTCCACTTCACGATTGTGTCCCACTTGTTGTTGATTCATGACAAAAAATTAAAATTGTATATCTTTATGTTTGAAGCCTGAAATGTGGCAAATGTTGAAAGGTTCAAGGGGGGCAAATACTTTTGCAAAGCACTGTACTGTAGCTTCTTTAAGGAATAATTATTGTGCCTTATTTTTGTCAATCTTAATTTATAAAAAGATAATTAAAACTTGTACGACAACAAAATATCCGCCCTTCCTGCACAGTGAAAAGTATTGAACAGAAACGTCTTCTATTTGACCTCATCAGGGTTTAACAGCCGGTGCGTATTCTGTGTAATTACTTATTAAAGAGCTCATTGTGGTTCCAGGTTTACGATCTGCCATAAAACAGAGGTGGTGAAGAACACGCTGAACCCAGTGTGGCAGCCCTTCACCATCCCAGTGCGAGCGCTCTGCAACGGAGACTTCGACAGGTGAGAGAAAAACACCCTCACGCTACTTTATGCCTGTCTCTCTTTTTTTGTATAAATTTACATGGATGATTTTCTCATTAGGGGCACATAATTAGATTGACATCCATGGCCACAAGTTACAGCTTAATGCAGCTGATTTTATGTCTAACTGTATTTATTCAAAGCATTCTATCCCCAGTCTATGACCGACAGTTTTGAATCATAAACGAAATCTTCGATATTTGAACATTTCCACATTTTATTTAAATACATTTCTTCCATTTCTATTGAATAAACAATGTGCATTCAACTTTCCTGTTTGATGATTTTATACATTAGGTGGTCAAATATCTTTAATTCAAGCCAAATTGATCGATATTCAGTGATTATTCTTTTGTCTTCCGCCATATGTCTTGAAAATATGACTTCACTTCATTACCAACTGCTCTAGCACTCCCGCTATTGGGTAGTTTTAGAACTCTGTAACAAGGTCAAGGCCAAATTAATGTTGTTTGCCCTTGTTGATATTTGTAACATCCATGATCCATGAGTGTCAAGAGAAAGCTGCCTCCAAATTATTAATCAAAAAGACGGAAATCTGAGGTGTAGAGTAGAATTTTCTAACTCCACATTACCATTCATAACTTAGTCCGATAATGTAGAGCAATAAAAATCAAACTTTCAGGGTGAATGTGCTTTAGGGCCTCATATAATTGATACATTAGGCCAAGTTCAAATCTCGCTCTGCTAGACCCTGTGGCACAGAGTGAAGCGGTTACTACTGTATTTGTGGTGAGTTGCCTTTCTCTAATAACTTCATCTTATTATTCTTAAGGGTTCTCCTCCCCTTAAAAGAAGATTGGCAGAATTAGTTATCATCCAAATTGAACACTAAGCTTGTCCCGTAATAAGAAAATCACCCATATAATTGTTTTTATTTGCAATATTTCAAGGCCTGACGACCAATGACATGTGACCATGATAATTCAAAACAAAATAAGGCTTCAACTACAATCAAAAAGGCAACAAACGAAAACCATACAGGAAACAATCAATATAAAAGGCAACACAAAAGGGACGGACAAACAAGCTAACAACAGACAAGACACAGACAGACAAGACACAAATAGACAAGACACAGACAAACAAGATACAAACAGACAAGACACAGACACAGACAGAAAAGACAAAGACAGACAGGACACTGACAGATAAAACACAGACAGACAAGATACAAACAAACAAGACACAGACAGACAAGATATAAACAGACAAGACAGGACACAGACAAGACACAGACAGACGAGATACAGACAGACAAGATACAAACGGACAAGATACAGACAGATAAGACGCAGACAGACGAGATGCTGCAGATTCTGGTGCGAGGCCATGGAGAGGCTTGTACACACGCAGAGCAGCTTTAACGGCTTACTTGATCCAGTGTGTGATTGTTTATCCTGCACATTGATCCTCATTGGCTGGTTTCCCATAGAGCTGTCAGTCCCTCTGCGGCAGACACATTGTCACACATTGTCACACGGAGCACACACGCGGTAGGTCAGACCTCCGCATTGATCCGAGCACAATGGACTCCTCTCTGCAGCCGCTGAAGCTGGGGAGGCTGAAGAGGAAGCTGTAACACACATAGAATCAGTGACTCTTCTGCAGGGCGGTCAGAGTCATTAAAGAACTACTGTCAGGGGCCCAATTAAATCAATTATAGACGCTTTTAGCAACACTTTTATACCAAGGTGTCAATTGTTTTTTTCTGTTTGAAGCTAATATATAAGTTTGCATTGTGTTTTGTATTGTGTTATTTTCTGGTAGATATTTCTGAACAAAATAAGACTGAAACCAAACCTGACATAAGAAAAAGGCTTATTAATATTACAGACTGATCCTATCTGGCCACATTTTTGATTAAACTAACTGATTATACAGTCCTCGTTCTACCACCTAATTCCTCTTTCTACAGCCCGAGTGTTGGATCTACAGCTTGTCCAACTTTTTTCCCACCGTTTTTTTGAGTCATTCCTTGTCGATGTAGAAAGGTCTAAGGACAGGAGATACAGGACATTTATTAAAATTTCTGGACAATTTACAAAAATTTTGGACATTCATTAACTTTTGCGTCGGTTTCCTCCGGGTGCTCCGATTTCCCCTACCACTAAAAACATGTATAATAGGTCTGGCATGTACCTCCTATATGGTGACCCCAGACTTATGACCCAAAAATACAACAATTGTAAAGCGCTTTGTGACTCTATGAAAGGCGCTATATAAATAAAGATCAATTACTTACTTACTTATTATTACTTAGTGGTCATCCCGTTCCTACGGACCAATGGTTCCTATGTGTTTGTTACTATTGTGTTTCCTGTGTTCAAATTGTTTGGTTCTTTGTAAAGTCCTCCCAGACGACTGCTGATTTTTAGGGTTATGCAAAAATAAATGGAATTGAATATTTGGTACTAAAGCGTGATGGAGACATAACCAGGTAGAGTAGAGTCAGTACAGTAGAATATGGCACATAGAACAGGGCTTTTCAACACTTCACTACCAGCTCAGCTTGGATAGAACCATGGCGAAGCAGGTACTAAAAAGTACTGGGTACCAGTTAACAAGGCTGGTGGAAATGCTCCCTGTAGAGCAGAGTAGAGTAGAGTAGAGTTGAGTAGGGTCGGTGAAAATGGTGCACATTCTCAATATATTGTAAATCTGTGAAGAATAACATTTAATTGAGATATGATCAAATCAAAAGTCCTGTTTCCACCAACCCTACTCTACTCTACTCTTCTCACGATTGGGGGAATTTCCTCTTGGACCTGTTGAACCAGTACCAGGCGCTGTTTTAGCACCTGCTTGGTCCCCGTTCTATTCAGGCCGAGCTGGTTCTAAAGTGTTGTAACTGACAGTGATTGGCCAGACTATGTAAGCGCAACCAGGTAGAGTAGAGTAGAGTAGAGTAGAGTAGAGTAGCACCAAATAGGACTGGTCCATTAGGGCTCTTTCCATTATATTTGTGTAGTATTTTTGTTCCTTTTTTTACTCTGTCTCCATCTGGTACTTCTCACGTTTCTAAATGTGGCCGTTTAACCACAGCAATAATGTTGTCAGAACAATTACACTTAATGATACATCCAGAGACAGTCGGCCACCCCTCTGTGACCAGTGTGGCTTCAGTTCTTCCTTCTTCTATTGTAAAACCAACACATATACTAAAAACTGTCCACGCGTAATTATTAAGTACTTTATTGATCGTAAACTTGGACCAGAGCATTACTGTTAGAGGATTATTACACTGTCATTTGGGAACGTGGAGTAAAACATGTTATGTAAAACTGGGGTACCAAACAACAAGATAAGTGTTGTTTTTGCCAACAGAAATATTTAAGTAAAAGTAAAATTTTGTGAATAAAATCCGCAATATGCTGTCGTCATCTTAATAGAAAACACGTTATCTTTTGTGCGAGAAAGACCCCCTTGAGTCACTATTGGACGCTTTGAGCTAGGAGAGGGAGTCACTTTTCTGTCTGAAAAAGCTGATCTAAAGATGTGACCGAGCAAAGCGTGCAAGTGAAAACTAGTGATAGAAGAAAACTGTTTGAAAGAGTTTGATGGATGTATTACATAGTTCCATTTTTTGTGGTTTGAAAGTTAGAACTAGGGGTGCAACGGTTTGAAAAAATCACGGTTCGGTTCGTACCTCGGTTCAGAGGCCACGGTTCGGTTCATTTTTCGGTTCATTTTTCTGAAAAAAAGTTTTGTCTTTTTAATAAACACAGCTCATGTGGACTCGGCACCTGCTCTGACTGCCCCCTCCTGACCTAGAAATGAATTAAGGGGAAGGAAATGGATGGATGGATGGAAGGCATATTCCATCCATCCAATTATGTCTATTTAACATAATTAATGAAAAACACCACAAAGTGCAACATAAGAAGGCACTTTATGAGGATATTTACCCTCATATATTACACCACCTTCCTGATTCTCCCAAGGAGGGGGTCCATTCTGGGCCCAGCCTCATTCACTGCATTTATTTAATTTTTGGCATTATCAGTTGTGACTGGGATATTAGTACTGGGCCTTTGTCTTCCATTCCTCCGCTGCTTGTGTCAGTACCTGCGCTGTGTGACAGTGTGACTGTCGTAGAGGGGGCGTGTCTTCAGCGCCAGACTTTTCATCTCCCAGTCTGCGGTGATGAAGTTCTCCGTTCCGCTCATGGATCTATTATAGATTCCGCGGGACGTCCAAGCGTCAGTTGTGAGCGCAGCTGAGGATGCGCAGGAGAGTTGACTTTAGCCCGGTCTGACTGTGCGTAAAGGAGCTGCTTAAATGCCGCGACAATAGGTGGTCGTTGAGACGCTTTTTTCACTCATGTCTTTCTTGTGCCACAGTGCTTACACATCGTGACAGTTTTGTCGAATATTAATCATCAGTATAGTTACAGTGAAGCCAAAATGCTCTCATACTGGGGATTTAAATGACGCAGGGCTTTCAAGCATCTCGTTCCTCCGCTCGCAATGACCGCACTGTATGTGTGGACTGAACAACGTGCGCACAACTTTTTTTTCATAAATCAAACCGCGGATCACGTCTGTACCGAACCGAAGACGTTGAACCGAACGGATCACGGATCAGTGATGAACCGTTGCACCTCTAGTTAGAACCCAAGCTTTAATCAGTAAAGTTCCACGGTTTTTGACCTAAGAAATGAGCCCCAGTCTCTCAGGTCTTGTTCACAGTGAGGGAAGGGTGACTTTTGTGGTGAAGAAGGAGCAGCGTCTTCATTCAAAGCTCTAGGATTCATAAGCACAAAATGGTGAGTGTGAGACAAACTGTTACTGAGCGCGATAAGTTTACTTTCTATCCAGAGCGAGTTGGCCCTAAAACTTTCTTTGTGAGCATTTCCCTATTGGGCTTCATTGAGCTATGAGGTCAGCATGGTCCATCTATATACAGTCTATGGTCTTTTCACACTCTATAACTATAATGTGTCTTCTCTGTCATCAGAA